TTTTTATCTTCCAAATACTTAGTGATGCAACTTCTTTAACTTTCTTTTGTATTTTTCCGCAGTCTGGTCTCTTTCGCATCACGTTCTTCACATCTTTTCTCTCCATCTATCATTTTCCGTTTTCTTTGTTATCAGGATCTCTTCGCGTTTTGCAGGGTAGACTTAAACTCGTTGTATTGACAAAGCGAGTTTACTAACCTTGTAGATATTTTAAATATAAAGGGAATTTTAACTGTTTTTTTCACTCATATACAAGGATGACTTAGTATACATTCGTGCGAATATTCTTTCAAACACACATTAGAGTGTAAGAGTAGCTTAGATGTGTGTGTGTCTTTGGAAATGTGCTTGTTTGTATATTTATGGTACGCATTTTTGCACGTGTATGACCAGTCAGGTTTAAGACTTAGCATCCCATAACATGGAGTTCTTGCCCAAGCCTTATGACATATGTAAAAAAAAAATCGTGTATTTTATTTTAATCTTATGGGATACAGCTGATAGATTCTCTTTTGTCAAATCAGTATTTTTTCTCTTTCTTTTATTAAATATTTTTTTTACGAACCCATCTATGTGTATTAGTCCAGTGTCAGCTTCAATGTGTACCTGGAGTTCATGTGTCTGTGTGTTTGTGTATTAATATGCATATCTACTTACTGAATATATTCACTCACACATGCCTAGTAGTCTAATTTACATATGTATGGTCTCAGCTATGTACCTACCTACTTACGCACATATGTATGTGAAGAGAAAGAGAAAGGTGAAGGTGAACGAAACGTCAAAGCGAAGTTACCGAAATGCGATCTAATTCGGTTATTTAATCGTCTTCACGTGTTCAATACCCTTCTTTCTTTTTCATTTCTTATTGCGACAGTGTTTTCCTCAATGCTTGTTTTTAGTCACATAATATATGCATAAACATGTCTACCCTTTTTATTTCACAAGACTGAGGACCTGCAGATGACTAAATTACCGAATATTTATAGATCTGCGACTTCAAAAATTATGCTGTTTTTTTTTCAGGGATGTTTACAGTTATTACCGTCTTGGGTAAAGCAGAACTTCGCTGCCACTGGAGGCGCTCTCCTGGTCGTCGCTCTCTTCCAGGTGAGGCTCTTCCCAAAGACCTTGAGATTTTATTGCAATTATAATGTGCATTTATATATATATATGTGTTGTGTGTGGTGTGTGTGTGTGTGTATATGTGTGTGTGTGTGTGTGTGTGTGTGTGTTGTGTGTGTGTTTATTTATTCATTCATCTATGTATGCTGATCGATGGATAGATATATTTCCCAATCCCATCTTTGTTCCTTTATTCTATCTATGATCATGATTTTTTTTTCTTTTTTTTTTATTAATTGATTTTGTAATTCAAAGAAATCTGATTTTTGACCACACTCTCTCCGTCCTCAGATTTCGGGCGCGGTGGTCACGATCGTCCTCAGAAAGCAGTTCAAATCTTTCGGCTGCAGGGACGTGCCGCCCATCGAGACCCTCCTGTTCTAAGTTACACGCCCACCGCCCGCGTTGTCAGCTAACCACGCCCACCGCCCGTGATGTCGGCTAACCACGACCACCGCCCGCGTTGTCGGCTAACCACACCCACCGCCCGCGTTGTCGGCTAACCACGCCCACCGCCCGTGATGTCGGCTAACACGCCCACCGCTCGCGTTGTCGGCTAACCACGCCCACTCCCGCGTTGTCGGCTAACCACGCCCACCGCCCGCGTTGTCGGCTAACCACGCCCACCGCCCGCGTTGTCGGCTAACCACGCCCACGCCCTATGCTTGGGTGGTGCCCTTACGGCTGGGTTAAAGTGTTTTATCTCCTCTGGGTCTGCTGTTGACAGGCTTGAAGATCTGCCTACCACAATGTGTAATGGGAAATGTCAATAACCTGTAAATATATGGAACTGGACGTAAATACAGAGAGGCGGATGCCCCAGCCGCCTGCCATGACATATCATACTTAACTGAGGGGTAACTATAGGGTGTGTTTGATGATCTGTAAATATATAGAACTCCCCATTTTTTTTTTTTCTTTTCTTTTTCTTCTTCTTCCTCTTTTTCTTATTTCTTCTTCATTATCTTCTTTAACTTCTTCTTTATTTTCTTCTTTATCTTCTTCTCTTTCTTCTTCTTCATCTCCATCATCATCTTCTTCTTTATCTTCTTCTCCTTGTTTTCCTCTTACATGGCCCGTCCCTGTGTGTGGAAGAATCTCGATGGAAACCCATATCAGAAATGTGAATAAACAGTATGTGTATAATAGACATGGTTATTCTTACAAAAGTGAATGGCGGCGAAGATTTATGAGTGAATACTCGATTTATTTTCATTTCTGTTGCACTACAGACATGTAAATAGATTAACGCCTTTGTTTTGGCATTAAACATGAAAAGAATTTAAAAAAAAAGAGAGAGAGAGAGAGAGAGATTATGTTAATGTTGCTATAATTCTGTATATATAGTATCGCTAAATAGCCAAAGAAAGAAAAA